TTTCTGTCTGAGTTTATGTCTACAGTTAGTTGATAACTTTTTGTCTGAGTTTATGTCTACAGTTACTTAATAACTTTCTGTCTGAGTTTATGTCTACAGTCACTTGATAACTTTCTGTCTGAGTTTATGTCTACAGTTACTTGATAACTTTCTGTCTGAGTTTATGTCTACAGTAACTTGATAACTTTCTGTCTGAGTTTATGTCTACAGTTACTTGGGCTACAGGCTGTGTAGAAGTGTATGAATTACAACTAAAATAGGTATATTTCATAAAAGTTAATAACTTTGAAATCCAACTAAATGTGAAACACAGACACTTAGTACATCAAGTGTGATAACCATTGAACATTCTTTAAACTCAGATAGATTGTTTTTATACCTTTGTAAATTATGATGAAATAAAAACCTCTACATCACATAGCTGTGTATTTCACAGCACTTATTAAACTCAGTGTACACGTACTTTTAGGTCTGAGAATATATATGTGCTATATCTGATACAATTTTCTGTACATTTATTTGCAATATCACTGAGTGGAAGTAAAAATATTTTAACATCAACTCGGTTTAGAAATAAAACAGTATTAAGATGTTAATGTGGTTTTAGTCACACTCGGCAGTCAGGTATCCTAATTAATACTTTTATTCCAGAATTATTCCGCGTCAACCACAGTTGTCACTCAGTATTGAACATCAACCGCCAGTTTTAATGCATGAGCTTTACTGTATCCATGTAAAGATAGAGAATAAAGAGATAAACTCTGTGAGTAATGTTCGTCTTCTCGTTGACCTGGATGAGGAAGCAGAAGATATCGTACGTCAACATAGTAAGTTGTAAGCTAAGTCTTTTTAATGATGATTCATTTTCACAAGGTTTTAACTGGATGTACATGTATGGAAAAGTTTAACTTAAAATTAAAAGAGAGAAGCCCAGCATGGCCAGGTGGTTAGGGCGCTCGACTCGTAATCTGCGGGTCACGAGTTCGAATCCCCGTCACGCCAAACATGCTCGCCTTTTCAGCCAT